GTCATGTGCCAAGTGCAACCTGAATCCATAATCCACTATTTTCTTGAGTCGCCACTTGAAACCATAAGAACATCAGATGAGTTGAAGTCATCTTAAATAATAATTGCGTTGCCATTATCCTTACCTCCATGATCTTTCAGGAGTTCAGGGCACACCTTTCTCGTGTGACCCTCCTTCTTACAGTCATAACATCGAATACTAGATGTTTCGTCATTATAAGACTTATACTGACTTTTACCTTTCTTCTTGTCGAACTTACCATCCTTTCGCAAGAATTTTCCCTTAACGAATAAACCTTCGCCCATCGTCGAAATGTTATTCTCCTTTCGTTTGTTCAAGTCCTTATAATACAAGGCTTATTAAACTTCTTCAAAGCTCAGGGACTCCCTTCCATACAAGAGAGTTTCTTTGAAAGTGAGCATGTGTTCTGGGCAAAACACACAACAACAATAGTGCTTGATCTTCATCATCGATCTTTACATCAATATTTTCAAGATCAAGAATCAACTTGTTGAACATATTCAACTGCTCGGCCAACACTTTATCTTCACTCATCTTGAAGGAATACAAAGCTTGCTTCAGGTAGAGTCGATTCACCAGAGATTTGGTCATGTACAAACTTTCAAATTTCACCCATAATCCCGATGTTGTAGTCTCCTTTGATACCTGTCGAAGAACCTTATCACCAAGGCTCAACAATATTGCATTGTGGGTTTTCTCAATCATGGTCGTCTTTTCTTTTTCCGTTAACACATCGTTCATGGTTGGCTCTCCCTTCAACGCTTCCAAACAACCCTGCTAAACCAATATGGTTTTAATCTTCAAGCGCCACAGATCGAAGTCGTTCACTCCGGTGAACTTTTCAATCTCATACTTTGTTGAAGGCATCTTCTCCACGCTCACCGCACCAATTTGTTGTGAATAGGATGTCTTGAAATAAAATATAAACAATTTCTTTATGATCAAGAAACACAAAAGGGTTAGGGTTAACAAAGAAAACAAGGGAAAAAAACAAGAATTGGTTATAAACTGCTATTCTTTCTTTTATCTATCAAAAAAGATTACAAGTATACAAGAATAAAAAATAACCTCTCTTTCTTGAATTAGGATTTTATCTTCTTATTTTTCCTTATACAAGTTGAGATACTAGCATGCTATTTATAAGAAAACTAACACACTAACCTAATGAGCTTTTTAACAATTACTCATTACAAGCTAACTTAGGATACGAGCTAACTTAAACAATTCGACTTACAACCAAGACTCAATTTAACATGCTAACAAACCTAACAATATTGGCTAATGCATGTTAGAACAAACATCTACTATAACACGCATTACTCCGACAACATACTAGAGTTCGATCCTATATCTCACAAGTGCACAAATGGTCAATTCTCAATGTAGTCAAGCTCAGGTTCTCACCCAGATATGCGAGGAAAGTGAGATATGATCCACGTATAAAAATGGCTTAGATAAAATATTAGTAACAGTAAATTATCGTAAGCAGCTTACGTCTTTCTATCAAGTGGTTTGTCTTCCAAAAGAGAAGTTTCGCCCAACTTCGAGTATAACTAGAACACACAGGCGACCTCTAGTTGTACTCATGATTCTTTGTTAAGTCGATGAAATATTTAAGGTAGACCACATCAACGTAGGTTGCACTTTTTTCCACAAACATGGACGTGCCAATCAGGAACAAGAGGTAATACCTCAATGCACGCTGGTTGTGATACTTAACCTGCATATCATTTACCTTTGGTATCCACAACTATCTGCAGGTAGTCTTCCAAGAACTTAAACCTAGCATGAGCACTTCTGGTGTCAGTTACCTCATTTTGGGCGTCAGTTAGGTCAGCTCCCGAATAGGTAAATATCATGTCGTTGGCTTCTTCTCGACTGAGCCTAAAGTGGTAAAGTAAATTTTCCCTAATGGTAAAATGTAGGAAGCATGAGATGTCATCCAAGGTGATGGACATCTCGCCAATAGGAATGTGAAATATGACATTTTTGAAGGTCATTTCTCTTTAAATGTCACATGCATGCCATGGTTTATGGTCGTGCGCGCAACAATAATTAAACTGGCAAGTCGAGAGTAGCAAAGAACATTATTGAACCAATCATCTTCAGGTTTTTACAATTCCAAAAACTTTTTCTAGTGTTTTACGAATTTTAATCATAGACTCTCTTGTAAAAGAGGGTGCGTCCACGTTTAAAATTCGTAAACTACAAAAGGAAGATTTTGGAACTAGAACAACCCGAAGATGATTGGTTCAAGAATGTTCTCCGCTACTTTGGGCTTGCCGATTTATGTGTTGTTGCGTACAAGATTATAAACCATGGCATGAAGGCGGCATTTACAGAGAGATGACATTCAAAGACGTTATCTTTCCACCTTCCTATTAGCGAGATTTTCATCACCCTGGATGACGTCTCATGCCTTCTACATCTTCCCATCACGAAAAAATTATTGAACTACTCCAAACTCAATCGAGACGAAGCCAATGAGATGATGATTACTTATTTGGGAGCTGATCCAACTGATACCCAAAATGAGGCAGTTGACACCATATGTGCTAATGATAGATTAAAGCTCTTTGAATACCTTTATAAAGATCACCTACAAATGGTTATGGGTGTCGAAGGTGATGATATGCAGGTTGAGTATCATTGACAGTGTGCATTGAGGTGTTACCTCTTGTTCCTGGTTGGCACGTCCATGTTTATGGATAAAAGTGCAACATACGTCGATGTGGTCTACCTTAAATACTTTATCGAATTAACAGTAATTCACAAGTACAACTAGGGGTCACCTGTTTGGTCTACCTGTACTCAAAGTTGGGAAAAACTTCTCTTTAGAGGACAAAGCAATGATAGGAAGTTGCATGCTACGTACAGTAGTTTATTGTTACTAATATTTTATCTGAACCATTTTCAAGCATGGAACATAACCCACTCTCCTCGCATATTCAGGTGGGAACTTGAGCTGACTATACTGAGGATTGGTCGTGTGCTTGCATCTTTTCTAGTACAGGGAGAATCAGGCGATCGAACCCTTCTGAATGTATCTTGACCGTCATAATATACATTATTGTTGAGGCTAGATTTTCGAGGAAGACACTCCCCAATTGATCATCGTTAAGGGTGTTCGCGAGGCGATTTGGTTTGGTTTTGAGAGAATTTGATGTCCAAACTGATAAAAAAATATGGATTGGTTTGGATTGAATTTTCACATGTTTCAATAAAATCCAATCCAAAAAATAACAAGTTGGTTTGGATTAGATTGATTGGATATATTAGAAATAAATGTGCAAAAGTATTTTTAAAAAATATCTAATTTAAATCAACTAATTTTTCATGATAATATAAAATTCTTAATTTTTTTTGTTTTTCATATAGGTTGTGAATGTAACAAATGGAGTTTCATTTTTTTCTTCTTCTTGAAGTTGAATATCTTATACTATTTTCTATGATAATGATTATATAAATTATATGGTTTGTTCAAGCAAACGGGCTCGCAGGTAGAATTTTAGAAATCTGTTACCCGAACCAATTAACATCGAGTTTGGTTTGGTTTTTGTCCGAACTAAAAAAATGTCTGACCTAAACACTGTGGTTTGATTTGGATTCCGGTTTAGTTCAGATTTTCCCGAACCAATGAACACACATGATCGTCGTAGAAGATATTATTATCGAGACACAAAATGTCTTGCAGTACAGACGGAAGAGAAACCCAGAGATTAGACATATCCAATAGATTATGTTTGTTTGCATTTTTTTTTTTTACATTTTCATAACAAATTATGTATGGTCAATCCATTTTGAATTTAATTTAATTAATGTAATGAGTTTTTTTTAATGTATGTGGTATTTTTGAATTAATTTATGACACTCTAAATGATTTTATGATAAAAATTGGCTTGACCTAAAATATAAGTTTGACCTTAAAAAATGTCAAAAGTTAAGACAATGTTACTGCCTAATGCCTCCTAGAATGTTTCCAGAAAGAGTTTTAGAAGATACGTCTTTGATATATCCCTTGCATGTACAATAAACATTTTTTCCATAACTTAAAATGAATTCAAGAGATTTTATAAAAATATATCTCCAAATTCACTCTAGAAAATTTACGGATATGCATCTTCGGACCAACTTTTGACAAAAAGAAATGTATAACTAAATTACAAGGATTGATATAATTTTAGGTACGTCCGAAGATGATCTCCAGACACCAATAAAGACACTCTTAGATTTGATTTCCAGACACCAATAGACACTTTTAGATTTTCAAAGTACCCCATGAGATGGGACAAGTATTTTCCTTATAATATGGATAAACAAGGAACCTGATTAAGCCCACCACCCATGAAAAATGCTAGAAGAAAATTATAGTGGGGCGGATTCATTCCAAAAAATTTACGAGACCAAATTTTGACAAAATGAAGTGTGGCTGAATTATGAGTTGACGTGATTTTAGATGCATCCAAAAATACATCTCGGGACACCAATAAAAACATTTTTAGATTTTCTTAAAAGTGAGGCACATCCCATGGTATGGTTTAAGCCCCTGGGATAAATATTTCCCTTATAATATGGATAAATAAGGAACTCGACTATTTCCCTTATAATATAGATAAATAAGAGACCCGATTAAGCCCACCACCTGTGAAGAATCCTAGAAGAAAATTACACTCAAACTATACCGATTTTTGAAGCCAATCTTTGAAACAACGTAAAAAAAACTACAATGCACATATGTACCAAGTTTTATCCACATGGAACCACCACTTGGCGGAGAACAGGAGTGCGGTTTACCATGGAGGATGGCAAAAATGACAGCAGAAGAATCCCTTTCCTAGCCAACCAGCAACAAAGCATTTAAACCTCCATTGCAAGAAAATGCCACTGGCTATGGTTCCATCCACCTTTGGCCATGAGTAAAAAAAGATCTCTAGATTATGATGCAAAAACCTTTGGACTGTGTGCAGGTTCGCATACATTCACCGTCCTTCTTGAAGATCTTCCGAGAAAACAGCTGTCCTAGAAATGTTTTCATAGTCAAAGGCACTTAGGCCAGAGTGAGCACCAGAAGAAAACATTGAAGATGTCCCATCAGAATCATATGCGGTAGAAGACTGTCTCAGGTTAGGCCTTGTATTGGATGAAGGTAATGCATGATCGTGATTTTCAGTGATATGCTGGACCATTTTAAGTGTCTGTACCACTTCACCCATTGTAGGTCGTTGGCTTGCTTCAGGTGCAACACAGGCTGCAGCGATAGTACAAACACGGACAAAATCTTCCTTCGGATACCTTCCCCCAAGCTTTGGATCAGCAAGTTCTTCTAACCGCTCCTTATCTCTAAGAATTGGCCTTGCCTGAAAACATAACTCGGTAAATTATTTTCTCTATCTAACGTAAACTACAAATGGCGGGTTTACTTTCAATCATTGCGAACAGAAACCAGGTTGAAATGCTTGAGTTTGAAATGAACTCAATGAGAATAATGAAGGAACATAAAGTTATGAATCTAACCCAAGTTACAAGATTCTCTTGCCCAGTTGGCTGTGACATTTCCACAGGTTTCTTTCCGGTCAACAGTTCTAGCAAGACAACCCCGTAGCTATAAACATCGCTTTTAACGAGTAGGTGTCCGGTCATGGCATACTCAGGTGCTACATACCTGCATATAGTTTCATTTGTCTGAAGTCTTAACTATAAATCAAATGGAAATAAAAAGCGAAAGAAAGTATGAAATGAAACTTACCCAAATGTGCCCATGACTCGAGTAGACATGTAATTAGCTCCGCCTTCAGGTGCTAGTTTAGCTAGACCAAAATCAGCAACTTTAGCATGAAAATTGTTCTCAAGCAATATATTAGATGCCTTGAAATCTCTATGTATGACACATGGCTGTGAATCTTCATGCAAGTAAGCAAGTCCTCTTGCAGCATCAAGTGCAATCTTCATTCTTGTGTCCCAATCCAAAGGGCAGTTTATTCCCAAGGGACCTGGGGGAAAATCAGGGCTAATTTCAATAAGCATAATGAAATATTTCTGAAAATAACTATCAGTGGTAACAATAGACACATAATGCAGGTAATTCAAGATTAAAAAACTGAACCCATTATTTAAGAAATTACATTACCATGAAGCCAGGCCTCCAAACTTCCATTTGGAACAAGTTCATAGCAAAGTAGGTTTTGTGATGAGTCAGGATTGCTATAGTATCCAACTAGTTTTACAAGGTTACGGTGATGCAACCGGCTAAGCATCTCAACCTCAACCAAAAATTCTTTGCCACCCTGCTGCCCTCCATTTGTAAGCCTCTTAATCGCAACAGCAGTACCATCATTTAAGACACCTTTAAAAACTCTACCAAAACCTCCTTCTCCAAGTATGCTTGCTGGTTCAAAATTGTTTGTTGCTTCTCTAAGATCTTCATGAGAAATAAAACGAGTACTAGTTGGGTATGGAAGTGACCCAACAGACGAAATTATGTGTTCTATCCTTGGCTTTTCTGTAGGAAATAAATCAAGTGTCAGTAGCATAGCAGGCGTAGAATACCATATAATTTATAGCTGACAATGGAAATAACCATGTGTGTGAGTGTGTATCAATTGTCTAGTTCTGATCCAATAGATAAAATTGTACGCTAAATCACTAAATCAAGTTTCATGATCAATCACAAAACATTAGTACATCTTAATATTCAATTCTCATTAAAATTTCGCAAGTAATAATCTGCTTCGGAAATGCCTGAGATAAAAAAAGAAGCAATTTATTTGCTTCAGCAGACTTTCTATCTTATAAATTCTGTGCCAGAAAGTAGTTTTTCTTTGGAAAGGAACCCAGTTTGCCTCAATTTAACTGTTACACTTACTACCTTCATGATATCCAAATCAAGAAAGGTGGCCAAATATAGAAATGCAAAAATGAAAATACACAGAATAGCAGTTAAAACTAGAGTACTTGCCAGTTTCTGTAGGAGGTGTTTTTGTCTTTGACCCCAGCGTGCATAAACAAAGTATAAGTACACATATAATGGAAATGATGAGTATCCCAGTAACAATTCCAAGGACAACAACCAAATTTGAACGCCTTCCCCTGTCTGAAGTACTTGATGATGTAGTCGTAAGTTCTTGTCTCCCAGGAGTTTTCACAGTTGATGCAGCAAAAGTAGGAGCTGAAGTAGAATGCAACGATATGTTATAATATATAAATGCATAGATATTCATTCTTAGATCCACAACCATCAAAGGGCCCACCCCTCTAATGAAGTACACCATTGCTATTACCTCTTCTAAAGCTATGAATGACCAAAGAAACTAACATCAACGAGTAATGTAGCTATAAAATTAAACATAATTCAGTAAATTTGTTAAATAAAAATATGGCAACGAGGAAGAATGGCATACAGGAATTAAAATGTTTGTAATGGTGAAACCACATATACAAGGTGCAAAGTGCAAACCATCACGGCTAAAATGTTCTAAGCAATGCTATGACATAAATATCTAGCTTTGTAGAAACAACATCAAGACTTAAATTTCATAATGGGCAATGTCGCATAGGATTTTCATGAGCATCAGAATTATAAGATTTGGGTTTGCAGAAAAAGTCAGGCCAAGTTAAGAAGCCGCGGTGAGCAAACAACGGATTAGACCCCATAGCATCATTGCATCTTTTTCTTTCCTTCCTTACCACTTGGAAGTGACAATGAAACAAACAAATGAACAAGAAATCTATATATATTAAAGTAATGAAGTCTAAGTTGTTAAAAACACTAAGATCACATATATAACAGGTTTCAATACCAAGTAAAGGAAAACATAAGCTACATAGTACAATAATCATCTCACTGTAAGTTTTCTCATATATCAAAAACACCAAAGCATCACGAACTGTAGTGACATATTTCAGAAGTTCCAAAGTCTGCATTTACCTTTCGAAGGAGGTGGAGGTTTAAACCAGGTCAAATTGAGAACCCTGTAGTCACCCACAAATCTACTGTCTAGACGAACCTTGTGAAATATAAGGGAATAGTTTATTCTAGATGCTTCATAGGCAGAGAAACTGATGTCTTTTTGCGGAGTGATATACATCGATATATTCAATGTCGATAAGCTGTGTACATAAAAGTTTATCAGTTCAATTTGGGTAGCCCGCATCCCCAATTGTGCCGCCAATTCATCAAGAAAAAGATTCCAGTCAGGGTTTTGAGAGACATTCAAAAGAAGAAGGTCTAACTTTACAGGATAAACGCAATGGAATCCCTCACTACCTCGTTTCAGTACCATGTCTTTATTACAATAATCTGGTTGAAAAAATAAAGCATAGTAAGTCATATAGCAATACAAAATCACAACGAGATTCTTATCCAAATGTGATTCTCATTCCAATCACAATACAAAGTAAAAATTAAAAACTGAAAATGTTTTAGAAAGCAAACAGGAAAGTGTGATGGATTAGCCTTACTGGAAAGATAAAGGGACAATGGTGGGTGAGCCATAACAAGGAATTTGTGTAACTGGAGACAATAAAGGAGCTTCTAGTGTTCTATCATATGAACCACATTCAACTAATAACACAAGCGATGTTTTCAGCAAAATGCACTGAAAAATTCCCAATCCACCTGCAAGATTTGAAAATTACTGAATCAGCATATCATGCAATATGAGGGCTTAAGATTGGTTAATGCAATGAAATTGAAAAGTATAATTACCGATTAAAGAGGTGAAAAGCATGGGATTCAACATCGGCGATTGTTGGATGAGGTAGATGAAATCAAGGAAGGAAATTGAGGGTTTTGAATTGGGAAAGTGAAGTGCATGCGTGCATGAGTGAGTTGAGTTGAGTTGAATCGTTGGGAAGAGTTTGATGTGTGTTGTGTTGATTCCTTCTTTTTTTGGAGAAAGGGATTTTTAGCGGTTTGGTTTGTGTCATTGCTAGAGTGTGAAAATGTTACGTTTTGTATTTGAAAATTGGTCCAAATATTGACGTTTGTGCTCACGTTTCAATAAAATTTTTACTGTAGTACGACTATTTTCCCAATAAACTGCCGCTTGAACCAGTCAATTAATTTTTCATACAAATTTGGATATATTTTCCCCCTCTATTTTTATTAAAATGAGTTATTAATCCTCAATTTCTAAATTCACTTTTCCTAGTCAACTAGTATAAATTGTTAGAAATTGGAATTACAGGTTGGTGAAAATAATTGAGTAGTAATTGAGTGTGAAGAAGGAGAGTAATTGCGGATTAGAAATATATTAATTTTTTCATTAATTTTCTCACAAGATATTTATATAACAATCCACGAGAAAATGTATAATTAACTAATAATACATCTTAAGAATATTTATACAATAATATAAGAGATAATGTACAATTAACTAATAATACAACTAAAATTCACATGTGTAACTAATTGTATTATTAGTACAATCGGTTGCACTTTACTTCTGTTTCAGTTTTAACAAAAAAGACTATAAGTGTAATCGATTGTACTATTAGTGCAACCGGTTGCACTTTGCTTCTGTTTGACATTTTACAAAGGAGTCTAACATGTTGACATAAAACTGTAATCTATTGCATTGACTTAAATTATCTTTTATTCTTAACACACCACTTTAATTCAAGTCATCCAAGTCTTTCATTCACATTAACTTCTTCAATCTCTTGAACACTTCAATCGTAACTGTAACACCCCGTTTCCCAAAAATAAAATAAAACAATTAAAATCAACAATTATCAGAGTTTCTCCCACAACGGGATGGCACATTCCTCAACAAAATTCCACAAGACATTCCTTAAAATGATTTCCAATAAAATTGCAGCGAAAAAAGAAGTCTGTCAAAAACACATAATACGTATATATACATCATCAACATCATCATATACAACAATCGGCCATCTGCCCAAAATATACACAATGTCATCAATATCATCACCAATCCCACAAGATAAGATACGCCACGGGGGCACACAAAATCATCAATACACATAAATACTCCCAAAAATCCCGGTGTTACGTATCAGAGCAATCCCTGCGACTCGCCACAATCCAAGCTAACTAAACACCTAGATTGTCTGTACTTCCGAAGAAGCACAGACCACAACAACAACAAAGGGGTGAGAAATCATGATCAAATATTAACGGTATAAATGTACATGAAATAAAAGGCAGAAAACGATAAACCATTATTTCACATACAACATATCCGGACCTACTGTCCCATCATCAACAATCACAACACACACAAATAACGATGCAACACATGCACTTGACTCGACAATATGCGGTACCGACTCAACTCAGGATAGATCGCATACACTCCGCCGAGCAACGATCTATCCCTACCACGCTCCTCCTGAACCCATATAATCAAATCATCAACGTCCCCCACTTGGGACACGGGTGGTCGCATACACTCCATCCGAGCAACGATGCAAATCCCGTCCACGTTCCCCCCTTGGAGCACGCGAGTGAATCATACACTGCGTCCACACTCCCACTTGGAGCACATGAGTAAATCATACCTCATGTCCACGCTCTCCACTTGGAGCACGTGTGTGAATCACATACACTTCACCGAGCCATGACTCACCACGTCCACATGCTATGCAAGACACTATGCATAACCACACGACACTCACGGTGCCCACGATCCTACTGATCCATCGCATCATATAATGCATATACACACAAGCACACAAAGTGCATCGATCCTACTGATCCATTCCAACAAACAACACACAAACACAACACACTTAAGGCGTATCGATCCTACGGATCCACTCATCACAACAGCATATAACGCAACGCATATAAGGCGTATCGATCCTACGGATCCACTCATCACAACAACATATAACGCAACGCATATAAGGTGTATCGATCCTACGGATCCACATATCTCACACCTAGCACATAGTGCATTCATATCATATACACATCCATACATATATATACTTAACACATAATCCACCGATTATGTCAAATGCGATAAACGCCAGCCACACGACCCTTATAACTCTCAACATATTCTCAACCCTCATATATCATCACTGCACATCAATCCGATCACCCTCGGCATCATCAGCTGCACACAACCCTCAAAAACCAAATCCTGCTACACTCGCTACCTGCTCGCTACACGAGCTCCTAGCGAGTGTTCGCTATACGTTCGCCTAGAGAACCCCCCTCGCGAACCATACTTCTGAGCTACTGGAAGTGCTCGCCACTACCTCACTCAGCGAACGTGCTAGCGAGTACAGAAAAACAGCCACTGACAAGGCTCGCTACGCGAGCTGCTAGCGAATGCTCGCCAGGCATTCGCCTAGCGATGGGCTAGCGAATGTCTGCGATTCTGGAGAAATAAAACTGCTGCTCAGAAATCAACAGCTCTCCCACTCTCCAATTTCCATCGAGACAACACTAAAATCATCGGCTTAAGGTTCTACAACCTAGTCCCAACATCCAAACTCAATTTTTACCCGATAAACCTCATTATCTGCTCGAGTATCCAACTTCCGACAATAAACCTCAAACTACCCAGAATCCCAATTTCATATAAACCATTGCCCCACAGCACATGCAATGAACTTTCAACATAACAATCACAATCATAACATAATTAATACATGTATCAACATCATTCATCATCATCCATGGGAATTAGGTGATTTCCCTCTACCAATTTATTCATGCAATTACCCATTCAACCGATCAATCCCCCCCTTACCTCAAATTCGATGCTGATGTTGATGAAGCTTCTCAATCCCCACGAACTGATAATCTTGATGATCTCCTAGCCAAGCTTCAACTCTTGCTTCAGCCTTCCTCAATCGTGTCCTTCGCTTGCTTCCCCGTGCATGTGTTTCTCTAATTTTTCCAAATGCCAATGTTACCCCTCATCCCAAATAATTCTCTTATATTCCAAATAAATAATATTCTCCACATTTTCTTAATTCCAAAACAATATTAATTCTCACAATATTAATATTAATTATTATCATTATCCATTATATAACATTAATATCATGTTCCTCATTCCTCAACAATTCCTACACAAAACACGTCGAAAACGAAATAACACTGGAAACTAGAAATAATTAAAATGGGCGTTACAACTCTCTCTCACTTTAATTATTTTTGTCCTCGAAAATACCTGATGGAAACAACTCTGGATACGCTTCCCGCATCCTGCCCTCCAATTCTTAGGTTACACTGCCTCCTGCAGCACCTCCCCAAGCCACTCTCACCAAAGGTATCTCTTTCCCTCTGAGTCGCTTCATCTTGCGGTCCTCGATCCGCAACGACATTGTCTCCACAGTTAGATTCTCTCTAACTTGAACTTTATCCCTCTGAATCATATGGGACGGATCGGGTACATACTTCTGAAGTTGCGACACGTGAAACACGTCATGCAAGTTCGAAAGCTCCGGCGGCAACGCCACCTTATACGCCACAGCGCCAATTCTCTGCAAAATCTGATACGGCCCGATAAACTTCGGATCCAACTTCTTGGACTTCAATTCACGTCCAACACCAGTCACTGGGTTAACCCTCAAAAATACATGGTCACCCTCACTGAATTCTAACTCTTTCCTTCGGTTGTCATAGTAACTCTTCTGCCGATCCTGAGATGCTTTCATCTTCTCACGGATCATCTGCACTGTCTCAGTAGTCTGCTGCACCAACTATGATCCCAACACAACACTATCACCCGACTCATACCAACACAGAGGAGTCATACACCTCCTACCATAAAGAGCTTCAAATGGTGCCATTCTGATACTAGAATGGTAATTGTTGTTGTACGTGAACCCTACCAAAGGCAATTGAGTATCCCACGTACCACCTCTTTCCAACACACAAGCCCGCAACAAATCCTCTAAAGCCTGAATAGTCCTCTCTGACTGACCACCCGTCTGCGGATGATAAGTCGAGCTTAGCTTCAACTTGGTATCCAAAGCTTCCTGCATGCTCTTCCAAAATACTGAAGTGAACCTCAAATCTCTATCCGACACAATACTCAAAGGCACACCATGCAGTTTCACAATTACCTGAATATAGATCTCTGCCAGCTTCTCCAACGGAAAACTGATACTAATTGGCACAAAATGTGCAGATTTTGTGAGCCGATCCACAATCACCCAAATCGCATCAAATCCTCTCGCCGTATTCGGCAATCCTGTAACAAAATCCATGGCGATACAATCCCATTTCCAAACCAGAATCTCTAACAGTTGCATCATCCCAGAAGGTCTTTGATGCTCCACCTTTGATTTCTGACATACTAAACAAGTATAAACATAACGAGCGATATCCCTCTTCATACCCGACCACCAAAATAACTTTTTCAAGTCCTGATACATCTTCGTAGCTCCTGGATGAATACTCATGCTACTACAATGTCCTTCGTCTAAAATCGATTTCCTCAGATTGTCATTATCCGGCACACAAATTCTGCCCCGAAACCTCAACACACTGGCATTATCCAACCC